AGCAGCTTGCTAGTAACTGTCCAGGAAATGTCAAAGACCCATTCTCTATTTGTAGTGCATGGAAAATAAAACATATGATTATGCTGAGAACATCTCTTAAGAAACACAGAAGGAATAACCCTGCCCCCACCATGTTGTAAATGGGAAAACAGGCACAGTGGTGCGAGAGCCTGGCATCGGCGTAGGAAAAGGTTCAATAGTTCATATACAGAACTTCCTAGGTGTTGAAATTAGACTCGGGATATTGTTTAAGTTACACCAAGTTGTGTAGAAAAAGGTTCAATAGTTCATACACGGAACTTCCTAGGTGTTGAGAAGTTAGGCTGGGGATATTGTCTAAGTTACACCAAGTCCCTCAGATATTACGTGGGCAAGTATTTTGATCCTGAAACACGATGTGCAGCTCTAAAGACATACGTGCGGGCTTGTTCCTAAGTAGGACTCAAGCAGCTAAGAACTTACAGACATGGTAAATTCCCTAAACAGTCACTTCATTACTAAGTAGATCTCATACTGAATTTTCCCAGTTTTTCACATTAGTTTTTAAAATACTGAAACCATGTTTAACATTTCAGTAGCAATACATCTATTTTTAGTATCTCAACTTTTACCTTTAGTCATCAAACCAATTAAACATGGAAGATTATGTAGATAGGATATGGCTAGGAAAACTCAAAGTACTGGGTGTCAACATACGTGTGTTCTGCTCATTTCTCAATTAGTAGCTTATGCGACAGAGATGGTCATGACCACCACCTATGAATGGGAAACAGAAAGCCAGATGTGAGCCAGGCTGCAACCAGGAACCACCGTGATTGCAACATTGGAGCTACGGTCTGGGGTTACCAATTTTCTAATAATGTCTAAAATTAGACACAACCACAAGGGTACCAACCTCACAACTGACATAATTAAACACTCCAGCTGCTTTATCTTCTGCTTGCCAGGGCTTCCTTAATGAAACTGGCCTTACAGGATGAGAGCCCGGTGTGAAGTCCCAGAGCAGCGCTGTCCCTGAGGCTCCCCAGCACATCTCAGAATTCAACATACACTTTCAATCCTGTGCCTTCCTTCTCTTGCGTAAGCGGTCTTCCTGGTGTACATGTTTACTCAAGTTATTTGAAAGCACATATAAACTTAGACAAAATTAGTTTTCAAAAATAACCAAAAAGTACATTCCCTGAAAAATGCGTAATTTCTTTAAAATGACCTCATGAATTTCCAATTATTTTCAGAAGTTATCTTCCACAAGATTAACAGCAAAGAGAGCCTAAGTTTGATATATTGATATGTTTATGTGATGTTGAGAGTGTAGATTTTATTTTCAGCAAACTGCCTTTCTCTGTATCTTCATTATTTCACAATGTATGATTTTCTGTCTTCAGTATTCCAGTTTATCTAAGCAAGCTGCTTAGTAGGATGTTGGGGAAGAAATGAGCCAACTTATCAGTGAACTGTTGCAGAACTGACATTTTTTATGAATTTTACAACTCTACCTTTCAAGTACATACATGTATCTATATAAGAAAATTATCTTAAGTTACTAAATCATTAAAGCCTTATTATTCATTGCAAACATTCAATTCTTTTCTACCTTCCTTTCAGGTTAATGGTAAATTATTTAACATTAAATTTTCCATATTATGGGTTATAAACTGTAGGAAACTAGATAATTTCTGAAAAAAATGTATTGATTCATTGCAACTAATCCTGACTTTGTATTTGAAAGTATGACTTCATAATCTTAGTTTGTACATAGTAACCATGTCTATATGGCTGCTTGGTTTACAATTTTAATATTAGCAAGATTTTAAATTCTTATTGGAAAGCTTCCCCTTTTTAAAAAAAAGACTTCATGTATTTTCTTTTTAAAAAGTAAACAATCATGTTAGTCATGATTTTATGACTGGAATAAAGAAAAGTGGTTTAGGAAGCGCCTTCCTTAAAAGGCTGTGAAAAGCTAACCTTAGCTACTATTAGCAGTGTTATATTTTTTTCCTCTCAAAATGGATAGCTAGATCATTTGCATGAATGACTGGTATTAGTATATGTTTCTACCTGATAACATGGCAGGCTTAAAGATCACTTTCACATACACCAGGCTCTGGCTTTTAATCTATTTCATAAGGTGCCCCCCCCCTCAGATGGTAGTCCCCAAATAAGCAACAATTTAGGCTCTTTTTGTGTGTCTTACCACGTCTTTGAGGTTGACAGTGTAAGTAAATTGGCATCTTAGCCGTGTATTATGAAAAATATGACAATATTCTAGAAAAATATAACAATATTCTAGCTTCAATGTTTTTGACCTCGGTCACACATTTACACTGTTTACTCAGGTGGTTCACGAATCACAAATCAAGAAACTCCTGAGTTTAGAATCTGAAAGTTGACTACTGAGTACTGGGCATCCTCTGAATATGGAAATGACTTCCCTACAAAATATCTGTACTGCTAAAATTATTTTTAAACTTGTTAACATTAAAGTCCAAGTAATATTTCGGACAAGTTGCCAAAAATTAGAATAATTCTAAAGCTGTAATTTAGTACCTTTATAACAGAAAACCTAAATTGCCGAAGTCTAGTGTGCTACAAAGTAAACCTTCATAATTAGGTACATATAATACTTTTGCCACCTATGAAAAGGTATTCGTTTGAGATAATTAGAAGTATAATAACCAATAAGAATGAAATTCAGCTTGTTTTGAAAGCTAAAAAAAATTTTCAAGCAGCACTTCATAGACGGCAATTTTATTCTTTAGTTAGAAGTTCAGCAGGGGCTCACTTTAGGTACCTAATGAGCGAACAGTGCATTTATTGTTATTCTAATTCAACCAGGACTTCCCTCTTTTCATTAATCCTTAATGATGTATTATGTCATTACCGAGTTTATCAAACCAAGTGTTTAGGAGGGTACTTGGCACATAGAACTCTGGTGACCATTTTGAAATTTTTGTTGAAGCTACCACCAGATAGTTGGGACATGAGTGCCCTATGCATCTCGACACCTGAAGAACTATCTACAGGTCTACAGATAGCATTGCATCACTGCCAAGTGACACATCAACTTTAGCAAGTGTAGCCATCCCTCGGTATCCACAGGGGTTTGATTCCAGAACCCCCGTGGATACCGAAATCCACAACGCTCAAGTCCCTTATATAAAATGGCATATTTTCATATAACCTGCACACATCCTCCCATCTACTTTAAATCTCTAGAATTTGTAATGCCTAATACAATGTAAATGCTACATAAATAGTTATTCTGTATTATATTATTTTTTATTGCATTGTTTTCTAGTTTTGTTTTTTTCTTCAAATATTTTCTATTTGCAGTTGAGTGAATCCTTGGATGCAGAGCCTGAGAATACTGGAGGGCTACTGTAAACTGAAATTTGAAACTTTTCCATTTGCCTGAGACATTCCCAGTTTTAGCACTGAAAGCCCAGAGAATTCCCTCAAGTCCTAAGCAAACTGGACAGCTGGTCACCCTTCCTCAGTCTTTCTCTTCATCTGTAACACAGATAACGCAGTTCCTACAGTGCAGGGTTACCGTGAGGTTGGTTTAAATGGGATAATCATGTTTAGAGGTAACATATCAACTAAAGTAGGAAGCCAGGCCAGCTAGTATCCCCCCAAGCTTTGTCCACCTTCCGAGCACTCCAGCTTGGCTAATTTCCTTATGTGTAAAACGGGAGACAACTTTGTAGGACTAAATGCTAAAATGCAAACATGCTGGCGACAGTGCAGAGAGCACAGTGTAAACCAAAGATGACCACTGTTACTAAAGTACCCAGTCCATTTCCCAGCAATGTTGAGCAGCTGGTAAGTATTATTTAGTAGAAATACCTCAAAAACTAATGTGAAAATTAGGTTAGAATTTTGGGACTGAGGGTTTTTTTTGTTTGTTTTGTTTTTTTCCCCTTTCTTAGTGAAGGTTAATTGTTGCTCTGTTTGGTGAACTCTGAGAAATACAAAACTACTTATCATCAGACTAAAACGACTGTTACAAAAGTGTAACAATTCAGAGAAGCTAATGTAGAGCATTACATTTAAATTTGTTTTTAATTGAAGACTTCGAATACGTAGTATTTTTAAAGTTGCTGTTACATGTGTAGATTACATTTTTAAAGTATACTACTTTTTGTAATCATCGTATAAAAAAAAGAATCGTCGCCCTCCTTCTGAATGTTAATGAGCTTAAAAAATCTTTACCACTAAAATATTAGTCTGTACTTTTTAAATAAACTCACTTTTACTTTTGCAAGAACTCCCACACGTGCTTTTGCAGCTCAATTTATATCAAATTTTGCTCTGTAAGTCTAAAAAATGCTTTAATAACCAGCAACTAGCATAACACTAAAAGACAGCATCAAGAGTTGTAGTACAGCTAACATATAATTAGAAATCGGGATACCTTTATCACAGTGGTTCTCATCAGGGGTCATTCTGTCCCCCAGGGGCCACTTGGCAATGACATTTTGGGTGGCCACAACTGGGGTGGGGTGGGGACATGGTGTGCTACAGGCATCTAGTGGGTGGAGGACAGGAACACTACTCAACATCCTACAGTGTACAGGACAGTCACCCACAACATCTGGTCCAAAATGTCAATAGAGGTTGAGAAACCCTAATTTATATAACAAAAGAAAGGTAAGGGTTAAACTGTGCCACACAGTAGACTGCCCCTGGTCAGCACCTCCAAAGTTGGTCTCCATACTGACCCTAACTGAGGACAGCCACAATCGACGCAAACTTCATAATGCTGATATCCCAGTACACACCTTTTTGGCACTTTGGGGGTTACCATTACAGGAACATTGGGAATCTCTAGCTACATCTATTTTGTAACCCTGGTAATTAATTGGCCCTTTTGGGTTATGCTGACTTATTTTCATGTAATGACAAGTTATGTTCTTGAAAATAAATGAGGTATATATTGCCATGTTTAGATTATCCCTGAGTCACAGTAATGTTTAAAAGAATTAAACATTCTATTTGCAGTAGTGTAACAAATTTTAATTCAAAATAGACACTCTGAAAACAATAGGTAAAAAAAAAATAATAATAAAGTTCAACAAGCTCTCTCTTTGAATTTACAAGAGTATACTGACAATCACAGACCAGCTTCACAACTGCCTCAAAAACACACATTATAGCACTTACATGCAAGTATTACATTTTTAAAAAATCCATGTAACAATATTATATTTCCCAGAGGCTGTCACATCCTCCAAATACTTCTACCTAAAGATATGTTAGACAGGCTCCTCTGCTGTGCATCACCAGCAACAGTACTTACAGTCTAAGCTGGCTGGTCCCCATTACTGGTTCTGGTGCTTTAAGATATTCTATATTCCATGAAAAAAAAAAACATGAGGTTTTATCACCCAAAGGACGGTGATACAATAGAGATTCTCTAGCATTACACTGTCCCATTCATCGGACAAATGGGATATGGAAAGTCCATTCCCAATACTAATATGCTCACCTCTAGTACACTGTTGGAGACTCACTACACCAACCACAGAGACTAGATCTTAGTCTACTCGTTTCACCTTCTCTGCTGAACACATGTGTTTAAGTTTCAGTTAGTATCCAGACTCAGGGGCAAAAATTTCATTCCTGAATATCACGGTCCTTCCCTTCCAACTAGTTTATGAGCAGTCAGGAGAAGAGATTTTGTGTGTGTCTTTCCCATGTTTATTCTAAAGGCACTAAAGATTTATTGTCTTACCTTTGAGTGGAGAAATGACATCACAATATCAAAAGAGGGGAAAAGTTTAAACTGAAAAGTATTTCTGCACCTACAGAATTACTTCATTTGAAAAAGAACTCTTAATTTATGAGCTACATACCAGACTTCAGACTCGGTATATTTTTAACAAATGAAAGCATTTGGTTTTCTATTGAGTTATGACAAAACAAAACAATAAAACAGCTGTTAGGACAAACCTGAAAAAATGTAAATCAAAATTACAATCTAATAAGCAAATAGCTTACAAAGAAGAAATCAGCATAAATTAATGCAGTGCATCCTTAGGGAACCACATCCACCACTGGGATCTGTGCCCACATCTCCAAACAATTACCGTATCATTTGCTGCCACCTGAAAAGATAAGGGAGAAGGATGCCTTAACTTGCAGTTAATCAAGTATTCTGAAACATGCTGAAATTTCCTTAAATGAAAAAACAGATATAGATTTCAGGTTTTTATCATACGATACTGACACTACTGAGAAAAGGCATGCATGAAATATTAAAAGATTTAATTTACATGACAGAAAAAAATGAAAATAATAGTTACAAATCAAACTGCAAGAAACAATATCTGAAAGAACTGTTCACTTCCTTACACAGGAGTCTTTCTGAGCACCTGAAATAAATCTAAGAGCAGCATAAAGACCACTGAAATTGATTATTTCAACACAGTGAAGAAAATGACATTTTCTAAGTCTCAATTGAAAACACTATCACCTAGTACTTTACACTTGCTCATTTTTTTTTTTTACAAGTTTTGTGATTCATATTCAAAGTTCAATCTGTGTTTAACATTCTTAAGTTCAGACATATCAAAGCCTAAAAGTACAGAAGGCTTCTGATTTTTTATTGCTTTCATGCAAATATATCTTCTTTTTCCAAAAAATGAAGCCACATCAATTTTCCAAACCCATAAGAGTGAAGATAACAGTTCTATTTCCTTTTTACTAGGATATGGTCTCTTATGGAAATAATCTCTAAGAAACTGCTTTTTTTCTTCATAAGAACGGTCTTCATATTTCTTAGGATCTAATGCTAAAATGTGAAGAGCATCATCACTGGCCACTGGTCCCTCTGTCCTGCTTTCATTCCTCTGTCTTTTAAAAGGCATGACGTTGGTTACTTTTTCTGGACCTGGGGCTGCATCAGCACTTAGGATGAGAGGCTGTTCCTCCCCATCCCTCTGGTCTTCTGCCCCAAAGTGGCCATCAGGCAGCTTTCTCTTTACAGAAAAATTGGAATCATGTATCACTTCACCATTGACTAAAAGCAGTTCACTGTTGTCAATGAAATCAGGCTGGATTTGCAGGTCTGAGCTGCTGTCCTTAGGGGCACTTCTGCAACGCAGCAAGTGGACAGCGATGGCAGCCAGGGTCATGTTTCCAGTGTAAACCCCACAGCAGTGGATGCACTTGAAAGCAGGTGACTTCAGAATTGTATGGACTGTCGGCATGATGTGGTGCCTCTCCTTCAAATGAAGTTCATACGCTGCAGTTGTCACAAAGGTGCCAAAGCAAAAGGGGCAGGTCAGCACCTGTCTGCTGGTGCTTCCAGGTGTGCCCTCGGTCTGAGGCCTCACCTTGACGTACACTGGCACGAGTGACTTGGAGTGTATCCCAGCAAGTATCGCCAAGTAGACTTCCCGCTCCCCAAGCTCTTCCTTTGGCAATATGGTAATGAAATCAAGATGGGGAAATAGCAGATTGCCATTAGCATCAATATCTAATTGAAAGCCTTTGTTGCTATAATCCACAGGCAACCTCTTCTTCCCTCGGTGCACAGTCCTACTGTGCTCGGAAAGACCTTTGATATTATGGAAAGTACATGGACAGAACAGGCACCCCAAGCCATGCATCAGCAAGTGTTGGATAAGCTCCTCCTCTGAGACCAAGCACTTGCAAGAAAGACACCGAACTGTCTTCTCTCTCATCCACTTTAAAAATGGTGCACATGCTGCTAGTTTTTCAGGCTCAAGTTTTTCTCTGGACTTGGACTCACTGTGCTTATGAGCCACTTCCATATGAACCTGGTAGACGTTGGAAGGGAAGAGCTCGTTGCAAACTGGGCAGGTTTTCCACTGCTTGGCCTGTTTGAGCACCTGATTTGCATCTGCTGCCGGGCAAGAGGCCTGAACAAACACGCTCTGAGCAGCGTTCACCAGCACTGGAGGCACGGGCATGCCAGCCACTGAGCTGGCCATCTGTGCAGCTGCACCCGATGGCAGGAGCTGGACGGGCACCTGTGGGGGAGCAACAGTCGCAACGCCTCCGGCTGGCACAGGCAATGTGACAGACACTGGGGCCAGAGTGTAGGTTGGAATCCCATTCACTTGCTTCCCTGTAGGGATGAGCTGCCTGAGAATAGAGCCTGATGTTAAGAAAGTGGTGTTCTGCGAGGCTCCAGGTCTGACTGGCTGATTCATAGGCAGAATGCTGGTGCCAACAGGCTGGTTGAGCTGCAGGACCCCAGGCCTCACTGGCTGGCCCACAGGAAGAACCCCTGACACGATGGGCTGACCAAGCTGAAGAATGCCAGAATTCACACCCTGGTTCACAGGGACAACACTTGAGGAGACTGTCTGGTTGGGAGAAAGAAGCCCAGATGGGACCATCTGGCCAGCAGGAAGAACCCTCAACGGGACCGTCTGGCCAGGGGGCAGAACCCGTGATGGGGCTGTCTGGCCAACAGAGAGAACCCCTGACTGGACCATCTGGCCAGAAGGAAGAACCCCAGAAGTTGCAGTCTGTCCAGGGATAACCCCAGCAGGGGTCATCTGGCCTGCAGGAAGGACCCCTGACGGGACTGCCCGACTCACAGAAATCACCCCTGGTGAGACGGCCTGCAGAACCCCAGTGGTGACAGAGGGACTGACAGGAAGAACACCGGGCCCAACGGGTCTGTTTATGGGCCCAACAGGCTGTGTGAGGGGTAAAACCCCAGGGCGGACAGTCTGGTTTATGGGGAGGACGCCAGTCCCAACAGACTTATTTACAGGCCCAACTGGCTGATTCAAGGGGAGCACGGGAGGATTCCCCGACTGATTAAGTGAGACCCCATGAGAAAGAAAGACAGGCTGCGGAGCTGAGGACTGCACAGGGAGGTTGCTCTGGCCCACTGGCAGAGCACTAGGGACAAGAGTCACGTGGGACTGGGCAACAGCAGGTGGAGAGTGGGTGAGGCTCCCCGCAGTGCCCGGGGCCACAGTCACAGGTGGCACCATGGCTGGGCTTGAAGTGCTCTGCGGCAAGGAGAGATGAAAGCATGAGGGCGGGGCTGGGTTGCCTGGAGCACTGTTGTTGGTTGGAATGGCCAAACGTGCCGCTGGTTTTGGAGCAATATGCATTTGCTTCAAAAATCCACTCCTCTTAATATGTTCTGAAATCACAGATCTAAGCTTATTCTCCAAATCCCTGTGAATGTCCGATGTCAAAATGTGATACATTAAAGCATCCTGGCTGCTAGCATTGGCGTTGCACTTTTTACAATAATATTTGTCAGATGATGGGATTTTCTCCATAGAAAGAATATCATTAGTTTTTGCTTGCTCACCCACTTCCTCAGTTCGCAGGCCAAAGTAGGAGTTAATTAAGTAGTGAAAATGGGCTACCAGCACGTGCTTCTTCATGCTGTAGTATAAAGTGTTCGAAAAGTTACATTTTAAACATGTAAAACTTATCACATCACTCCTAGATGACTTAGTTTCACCTAAAATATTCACTGTGTAGTTCTGGACTTTCCGAACAGGTGCATGGAACATTCTAAAGTGCTTTCCCACAACTTTGGGTTGAGATGCAAACACACAGTTTGGGCAAGGGATCACCAGCTCTTGGTCAATTTCATCTTCATGGTAACGATGTAAATGACTTTTGAATGAAGTAAGAACCTTTGTGGAGTATTTACAGAGGCTACAACAGTATGGCTTTGTTCGATATCTCTGTTAAAAGAAAAGAAAGCCAAGCATAGTTTAATAAAACTGTCATAAGCTACACCAATTCTTTTTATTCTAATGTGCTAGATACTTTAACACTACCACTCCTTAAGGAACAATGTTTTTTTCCAAGCCAGGGGTTGGTGAGCTTTTTCTATAAACGGATAGTCAATCAATATTTCAGGCTTGTGGGCATACAACACAGTCTCTGTGGCAACTACACAGGCTGCCAATGTAGTACAAATGTACCCACAAATGATACATGGTTTATGGGCACAGCTGTGTTCCAATAAGACTTTATTTATGGACACCAATTCGAATTTCATATAATTTTCCACATGTATTCTTTTTGTCTTTTCTTGTTTGGCAGCTGGCCAGTACAGGGATCAAACCCTGGCCTGTGGTGTTATCAGCACCACATTCTAACCAACTGAGCTAACCACCCAGCCCTTCTTTTTCTTAAACATTTAAAAACCTAACCACTATTCTCAGATCTTGGCCTATACAAACACAGGATTTGGCCTGCAACTTGCAGTTTTCTGGGCCCTATTCTAAGCCATCCACCAAAACCACAAATCTCATTACTCAGTCCTGTACTTTGAATTAAGTGCATCGATTAAAGTGAACCCAGTTAATTTTCTGCAACAGCACGTGGTTTTCTCCCCTTCTTTCCCCATTTCTCTTAGTTCCAATGTTATTTTTACTCCAAATTCTAGAAGTTCTGGAATTTATCTACAACTAACATAGCTATCCAATTGTTAACCCTGTCATCACTATCTTTCAATCTCCCCCATGCCTAGTGAAGGCAGGACCCACATGGGCAGGGCTGGCAGATGCAGGCACTCAGTAAACCATCTGATGAACAGAGATGAGTGACTGTGCCTAAACTCAGGCTGTGAATGATCCTGAAGTAAGGTTAAAGCCACAGAACACAGCACTGACCATACGGAATTCCCACTGAAGGCACATTTGGGGGAATTCAACAAGCTTAGGGCCTAGGAACAGACGTTTATACAACGGCTGGCTGACTGAGGAGCACTAATCTCACATCCAGTAAAACCTGCTGGTTTGTGAAGTCTCTGCTTTCATCAGGCTTGAGATCCTAGACCTGACCTTCCCCTAGTTGCACAGATGAGGAATCTAAGACCTGGACAGATTGAACACTTCATCCAAGGCCCACAGTCTGCTGTGGCACTATCACAATTACCAAGAGTAAATTCCCATCATTTCCTAGATCTGTGTTCTTATGGTCACTCTCATACACACATACACATATATTCCCATTCTTCAAGATTCTGTCATCCTATCCCTCTTCTATTCATGCTTTCCTCTTGATTCACAGGTCAGAAGTTACCCAAACGCATTCAACATCATGTTACTGTCGTTCTCAGCAGTTAGCAAAATCCCAGGTTCTGGTATTTCTGGTAGGATCTACAATAAACCCAGGGCAATAGCCACAACCCCAGACCACAGACAAAACAAACAAACAAACAAACAAAAACCCCAATAAAACCTTATTTCACTGATTCTAAGTGATATTTATTCATATTTTTTTTCCTTTTTGTCTTTTTTCGTGACCGGCAACGGATTGCAACCCTCAGTGTCGCGCCCGTACCGGACTGGGACGGGCAACAGGATCGCAACCCTCGGTGTTGCGCCCGCACCTCGCTCAGCCAGTGAGCAGCCGGTCTGTATGTGGGATCCGAACCCTCGGCGGGAGCGCCGCCGCACTCCCAAATGGCGCACTGTAGCAGTGCGCCACCGGGCCGGCCCCATTCATATTTTAACATGTCTGAAATCTGAATGTACCTTACAACTTTAACATGTCTGAAATCTGAATGTACCTTAATGGTTCACAGCACAATACAGTTTAAGTGAAGTATCATAGATTAGTGGTTCATCAAAATGGTGCATCTTACACTCAATGAAATGCAGTAGTAAAAAAGCATATACCCAATGAAAATTACACTCAGTGAAAGAAACGACAAAGCTTACTAACAACTGCATGTATCTGTTAGTACTGAATAAATCTTTGGGTTAAATGAAGATTTCTTAAGTGACACTGTAAACATGCTCTATACAAGAAAAAATGACAAACTGAAAATGTTAAGCAACACATGACTGAAAATAAGAAAGCTTCCGCTCTTTGAAAGACACTTAAAATAAAGAGACTAGGTCACAGGCTAAGAGACTATTTGCAAACCACGTATCTAATAAAGAACTTGTGTTCTTACCTATCTAATAAAGAATATGGGTTATGGACACTTTCAAATCTCAGTAAGAGAATAATCCCATTTTTAGAAAATGGGCTAAAGATTTCAACACTTTACCAAAGAAGATATCTGGATGCCAAATAAACACATCAAAACATGCTCAACATCATTAGGCACTAGCAAAATGCCAATTAAAACCAAAGGAGATACTACGACACACCTATTAATGGGAAACCAACAGGTAAATCAATAAATACAATAACCCTGACAACGTGAATCTGGCAAGGGTGCAAGAGCAAGCACAGCCCTCACACTGCTGTGGGAAGCAAAAGGGTGCAGCCACTTTGGAAAACAGTGTGGCAGTTCTTATAAAGACAAATATGTACTTATTTACCATACAACTGAGCAATCCCACTCCAAGGCATTTACCCAAGAGACATGAAATACATGTTCAAACAAAACATGTTAAAGTTCTAGGACAGTGACCAACCAGAAACAATTTGTGTGTGAGATGTCAGCTCATTGGTAATTGAGGAAAACATAACTGAAGAGAGAAGTAGTCACAGTACTGAGTGCTACTAGAAAGCCTGTCCCCCAGAGAGTGAGTTGTCTCTCCATCGAGCCTAAGTGTTGCTTCTTCAAGACCCTCCCCCCCACATGCATACTAATTAACTCTATTACCTCAGATCACCTTAGCATGTCTCTCAGGCCTCAAAACCTGAGGAAGTCTCACTTGTTTCTCTGAGCCACTGAGGACCTCAAGGTAGTATAAAAGTCACACAATCCAGCATGATTATGCAACTTTCCTAAATCCTATGTCCACAGGACTGGCCAGTTAGCTCAGCTGCTTAGGGCATGGTGCTGATAACACCAAGGTCAAGGCTTCACTCCCTGTACCAGCCAGCCGCCAAAAATAAATTGAAAATAAACAGAGAAATCCTATGTCCCCAGAGACAAATTAGAGTAGGAAGACTACCCTATGAACAAAAATACTCAAACTAGCAGACACCAGAGTCTCTAACACTACAGGCAAGTGTTTTTTCTTTTTTCTGAATATGGTATCTGTCTAATACAGTTGTGTTGCTTAACAGCGCTTAATGTTCTGAGAAACGCATCATTAGGTGATCTCATTTCTGTGCAAACATCATAGGATGTACTTACACGCACCTAGATGGTATAGCCTACTAGACAAGCTAGGCTATATGATACAGCCTATGGCTCCTATGCTACAAACCTATATAGCATGTTATTGTACTGAATACTGTAGGCAACTGTAACACAGAGATAAATATTTGTATATCTAAATGTAGAAAAGGTAGAGTAAAAATACGGTAAAAAAGAAAAAATGGTACACCTATATATGGCACTAACCATGAATGGAGCTTGCAGGACTAGAAGTTGCTCTGGATGAGTCAGTGAAAGACTGAGTGAATGGAAGGCCTAGGACAGTACGGTACACTACTGTACACTTTACAGACATTGTATACTTAGGCTGCACTAAATTTATTAAAAATAATAAATAACCTCAGCTCACTGTAATGTTTCATGGATTTTAAATTTTTTCAACTTTTCACACTTTTGTAAGAACACTTAGCTTAAAACATAAGCACATCATACAGCTGTACAAGAATATTCTATATCCTTATTCAATAAGCTTTCTTTTTTTTAAAGATTTTTTAATCTTTAATTTTTGTTTTTACTTTTTAAGTTTTTGTTAAAAACTAAGACAGAAACATGCATAGTAGCCTAGGCCTACGCAGGATCAGGACCATCCACCTCTACACCTTATCCCACTGTAGTCTTCAGGGGCAGTAACACACATGGAGCTATTGCCTCCTGTGGTGAAATGCCTCCCTGTGGAACGCTTCCTGATGGACCCACCCGAGGTAGTGTCACTCTTTTCAGAAATATGTCCATGGTGGTCTGCTTGGTTTCTTTTTTTCATCATAGATTTGCTTATTAACAAATAATGAACCATGAACCTTCCTCTCTATTAATAAAAACCTTTAAGTGTTGGGGGTCCATGTTTCCAAATGTTTTAAAGAGCTTGTGGAGGTCTGAAAAGCTTCTGCTATACCTTTTGCTGTGAATTTTCTTAGGTGGTGGTGTTCTTTTTCTTTTCCTGCAGATTCCCGTTCTCTTGCCTCTTCTTCTGCTATATGTTCCTGCTCCAGTTCCAACAACTCATTAGTCAATTCCTCAGGAACCACCTCAAGGAGCTCCTCAATGTCTTCCTCATCTGCACCCTGGTCAAAGTTCACCATCTCAACCACAGCCTTGTTGATTTTTGCAGCCTCCCCATCCTTGGCAAATCCTGTGAGGTCATGGATGGACCTCTTAAGTGTCTTCTTCCAGATGCCATTCATACACTTCTTGTGACATCACCCTAAGCCCAGGCAAGGTTTTTGATGCAGCCATAGATGTTCCAGAATTGCATCAGTGTACTCCTCAGTTGCAACAGTGGCCTGGGCAAAATACCCCCCTCAGGAGCTAGGCCCTAAATACTGCTATTACTCCTTGACCCATTGGTTACATCAAAGAGGTGGTATTTGGAGAGAGAAATACCACTTTGTTATTAGGATGAAGATCACCAATAAAAGGAAGATGTCAGAGGCATTATCAATAAGCAAAATCATGAAAGGTATTTTATTCTTCAAATAGTACTTCTCCGTTTTGCTGGTAGAGCAGTTCAGGAGGGCATCCTGAAAGAGGAGCTGGGTCACCCACAACTTCCCACCACTCCTGCAGTGCACTGGCCGTGTGCACTACTGATATGCTTGAAGGCCCTGGGGC